ACGCTGGAGGTGGGCCAGCAGCACCGTGCCCCTGGCCTACGGGCAGGTGGCAGCCAAGGCCAAGGCGCACTTCCTGCCATGGGTGGACAACGTCCTGTCGCGGATGGTCTTCTACTTCCACTACAGCTCCTGGGTACGGCTCCCCACCTGCCGTGCCCAGACCATCCTGCCCTCAGCCCAGCAGGGCCGGGCTCTCAGACAGGAGGCCCCACCCCCTGGACCCTCAAGGAAGCCGCCTGGCTGTCCCGTGGCCACCTCCTCACCCATGTGCCCCCCACCTCCATTTCACTTTGGGTTAGGGGGCCATTCTTGAGGACCAGGCGACCTCCCACCTGCCATGAGATGACAAGCCTGGCGCTGTCCACCAGCCCAGTCTCTACGAGGGCCCCTGCACTGCTCCTGCCCAGGGCACAGTGCCCTGCCGCGAGGCAGGGGTTGCCGCACCTTGAGAAACTCCTACAGGTGCTGGCCTGGAGTTCTAGCGCGGTCTCCAGGTTTTCATACAGACCACACGTCCCCACCCGGCAGTCCCCAGCACCCTCAGCCACAGCCCTGCTGCCCTCCACACCCAGCACCCTCGCCTGGCCCACAGGACGAGACCCTGAAGCAGAGCTTCCTCACGGCCGCGCAGACACTGATGGCGGCCATCGGCCGCGGTGAGGGTGCCCACAGCTACGAGTTCTCCCAGGCCTCCGAGCTCCTCGAGTGTCTGATGGTGCGCAGGGCCCTGGGGCCACAGGCAACCCTCAGACCAGCTGCCCTCCTGGGAGTCACCCACTGGGGAGGAGGGCGGGCTCCTGCGGCATCCACGTCCCCTCCCCAATCGCCCGGTTGTTACAGGGACCCTGGGCTAGCCGGGCACGTCCATCTCACGGTGGTGCCACTGAGGCCCAAAAAGACCAGTGCCAGCCATGCACGTGGCCATGTGCAGCCCCAGACAGGGACCCCCAGGGGTGGAGGATGCACTGGGTGCTGGGCAGGGACGCTGGCAGCGCCGACTACGACACTGGTACTGACCACACCTCCTGACGCCGGAGCACAGAGGCTGCGCCCTGCGCCTGCTCTGCACGGCTCAGAGGCACTGAGGCGGCTGCTCCTGGCCCAGGGACCTGCCTGTGCCATGCAGCCAGCACATGGGGCCGGGGCCTGACCTGCCTGACTCACAGGCTTTGCTCAGGTTCTCTAAGTGGGGGCAGGTCACGGAGGTCCCCAGGGAGTGTCACAGGGCGCTGGCACTGAGGTCCTCAGGTGAGGATGAGCTCGTGTCCCCTGAGCGCTCGGCCTGTGGCTCTCGCAGGTTCTGCTGGAGAAGGAGCCGCAGGATGTGCTGTGCACGCCCAGCCGTCAGCAGGCCCTCCACGTCGCCTCCAGCCTCTGGTAGGTTCCCAGCCCCACCAGGCCCTGCCCCACCGCCAGGCTCAGAGTCAGAACAACAGTGACCAGGGGAACAGTCCGAACTCAAGGCTGGGCAGGGCAGGCAGGCGCCTGAGCCAGCCCAGGACGCAGTGGACAGGGGTGGGCAGCCCGTGGAGGTCAGGTGCTCCGGGTCAGAGCAGCTGCGGTGGCGAGCCCCCAGCACAGGCAGGCCCTGACAGCAGGCTCTAGTGCTCAGGGAGGAGGTGCGAAGGGGGACAGTCTGGACCCCAGCACCCCGCTCCCAGGGAGGCAGAGTCCAGGGAGCTCCAGAATGTATGTCAGGATGCAGGCCCCGACTCGGCTGTCTGCCCCCAGCTGGGACGAGGGTGTCGTTGGCGTCCCTGCTCTGGCCATGAGAGGCTGCCTAGGGAGGGGAGTGCCCGGAGTTGGAAGCTGCCTGCTCTCGGACCGCAGTGGGGACAGGCAGGCAGCAGGCTGGGCACTGCCCACATGCCAGGTGGAGCAGGGCTCCCCGTGCTCAGCCTGTCCCGGCCTGTTTCCCACTTGTTCATCCCACACCTAGCCACTGAGCATGGCGATGTGGCAGGCACTATCCTGGGTCCTCTGAGAGTGGACATGGGGGAGGAGCAGTGAGCGAGCTGCACCTGCCAGGGATGGCGGAAGGAGCTTCAGAAGCTGAGGCCCCGGAGTGAGAGGGGAGGGCGGAGGGTCAAGGGCCAGACGAGACTTGCAGCTGGGTGGATGAGAACCCACCATTCCCAGTTGACTAACTGACCAAATGAGCTCTGGGCTAGGGGTACAGCCTGAGGCTGGCTTAGGCTGCTGGGAACAGACTCTGGAGGAAGACCTGGAAGGGCAAACAGGTGAGACTAGAGGGTGCCCGGCTGAGGGGGGTGGCAGGGCCGAAACCCCAGGGTTATACACATCCGGGCTGCTGCAGGACCAGGAAAGGCCAGATGGGCTGCAGTAGGATCAGTCAGGGGCGAGGCCCGGGAGGGTCACTCCCCACCATGGGGCTGCTAGCCCTTGGCCAAGTGAGGCAAGGCCTTCCATCTGAGTCAGTGTATTTGAATTCAGTGTGAGAGGTCAGGGAGAAACCCCAGCTGGACACGGAGGTGGGGTCGTCGGCCTCTAGACACCATGGAAGCCAGGAACTGAAAGGAACAGACCCGGACTGTGCCCAGCTGGGAAGCCTGCACAGGAGGTCCCAGGGACCCCATGACTGCTTTCGCTGGCCCCTGCCAGCCCTCAGTCCCAGCACCTCTGTCTCCACACAGCAAGCTGCGGCCGCCCATAGATTCAGAAAGGAAGTCGCGGCTCCTGGCCACCTGCCTGCGCAGCGTGCTGGCCCTGCCGCTGCTGGACACCCTGCAAAAGCACTCCTGCCTCTTTCTGGAGCCGCCCGACATACAGGTGCGGCCGACGGCTCGCCCGTGGGGCCTCGCAGCAGGGTCTGGCTCTACCTGCTGCTCGTAGCTCAGAAAAGGGCAGGTTGGACAGGCGGAGCCCTGAGCACACCGGGGCTGGGGATCCTAGGCAGCTTCTTAGCTGCCGTGAACCTGTGCCCACCTGGAAAGTGGGATGGTGAATAGTATGGCTGGGGTTTCATGCCAGCTGGCCGAGACGGGGCCAGGGCAGCGTCCAGTGCAATAGGTGCAGTGGTCCAGGTGCCCGCTTCCTTCCCTGCAACTTCAAGGGCTGGCCAGCTCCACATGGCCTTGCCCAGCATGCCACATGGCACCCTTGGGCTGATTTTTTCCAAGCTCCTAGCAGCGCAAGGGAAGCATAGCAGAGCGCAGTGCCTCTCTAGGGGGTGAGATGGGTCAGCCACCAGTCTCAGTAACACCTGGAATGGGTCCCCTTCCCTGCAGGGTGGGCCCAGTCTCACCAGGAAGCTACTGAAACTGGTCATGCCCCTCCCAGACCTGGCGGGGCCCAGCCCACCCTGCTACTCAGCGGGGAGATGCATGCCATTGCTGGGGCAGTCACCAGGGGGCGCATGTAGCCCCCATGCACAGTTTTGAGTGTCTGGTGCTGACTGAGTGCTGCGGTGCCAGCCTCCGGACACTTTATCTCACCTTCCCGGCAGTGAACGGAGGGTAAGGAAACCAGGTCAGAAAAATGACTGACTCTCCAGGGAGTCGGAGTCTGAACCCCAGGCCTGCCTCCTCTCCTCCTGTCACATCACACACAGGCTGGAACTGGACAGTGGGGTGCTGAGAGATCTGGACCCTCCCAAGCCCAGGGCAGCCCCAGCCCCAGTCCTCCAGAGTAGTGGCCTCTGCTCCCACCCCAACTCTGCAATAGTGACCACACCACGCAGGGGCCTGACCTGGGCTCACCCAGGGCCTGACCTGGGGCCTGGGGTCCAACGCTGGAGCTGGGCCACTGGGCTGGGGCTCCTGTCCACTCCACCTCCGCCTGTCTCCACTGTGGCCCGTGGGGCTGGCTGCATGCCATTCGGGGTGAGGAACTGCCCAGGCCATGGACTACAAAGCCAGCCCTGCCCGAGTGAACCTGCCCAGCCACGAGAAACCCACACCGTCAGTGAACCCCAGGTGCCTCCCTGGCCAGTCTCCACGGCTGCTGAGTGGGGACAGGCAGGTGCCGCATGGGCAGGGCGGTGGCCCAGTGGGGGCCTGGCTGGGGTGTGCAGGTGTGCACGTGCTGTCCTGCCGACGTGGCCCTGATCCCTGGCCTCACACAGGCCCTGTACCACAAGACCATGGAGGCCCTGGATTTGCTTCTGCAGAGCCTCATCACACAGAACCCCACGGCCGAAGAGCTGCACTTCCTGCTGTCGGTGAGGACTGTGGGCCCCAGGGCCACGGTCGGAGTCTCAGGAGGCCTCCGGAGAACTCGGGGCCTGACTTGGGGCTGCAAGTGGCCCAGGAGCCAGGGACTGAGGGCCACACACTGGGACCTTGGCAGTTTGGGCAGCTGGGATCAGCAGAGGTGGCCTGTGGGGGGCTGGCCAGGCAATGGGCCTCTCGCTCCCAAAGAAGGCCCCTGCCGCAGGGTGCCTGAGGGTCTCACGAACTCCTGCTCTCCAGAGGCCCTGCCTGACAGGCCGGAGAGGAGCTAGACCAGGCCAGACGGCTGACTCTGCTGGGGCTCAGGGGTCCACAGGAGAGATTGCCCTGGGAAGCCCTGAATGATGACTGTGGGTCACTGGCAGGCCCAGGCAGGCCCAGGCATGGCCAGCAGGCAGGGGGCACAGCCCAGGGAAGGGGAGTGGCAGCGGCAAGCCCAGTGGGCTGAGAGCAAAGCTGGACTGGAGCAGGAAGCGCTCAGGTGGAGCAAGGTGGGGGGAGTCAGGTTAAGGGTAGGGTTGAGGTTGGGGTTAGGGTTAGGTCAGCAGGGCCAGACCAGCTAGGCTGGCGGCCAGAGGTGATGCAGGGGCTGACCAGCTTGGGGAGCAGACATGAAGGCCGGGTGCCTGAGCCTGCACAGAGGGAACCCTGCACTACAGAGAGCATGTCCGTCCCAGGAAAGTGGCCAGGAGCCACAGGGGGTAAGGCAGGCAAGGCTGCCACCAGTGGCAGTCGCAGGTGTTCTCCTGAAACATGGCTGGGTCACAAAGTCCTCACACCTGTGTCCTCAACCCGCCTCTGAGTCACTAGCTCGCGTGCAGGGACACAGTCTGAGTACCTGAGAACAGAGGTTTCGGCAGCTGCTCAGGGCCCTGCGTCCGGTGTACCTGCGTGCATGCCCGCAGCGCGGAAAGGTGTTGTTCCAAGGGTGCCCGCAGGCGCAAGGAACTGGGCTCCTGAGGGCTTTGAGCTGTTGGGGACCGCTCAGTTACAACGGGGCTCTGCCGACCGACAGAGGCTACCCGGGCCTTGGTCGAGAGCCCAGAGGGCAGAGCATGTGTGCGGGTGGGCAGGGCCTGAGCTCTGGGGTGTGGCCAGTGACCGTGGTGGGCGGAGCCTGCCCCAGGGGTGTGGTCAGGCCTTGTGGGGGCGGGGCCAGTGCTGATGGTGGGCAGGGCCCAGTCTGGCAGTGGGGCGGGGCCTGGCCCGGAGCCGGGTCCAGGCTTTAGCCCGGTGTCCCCGACCCCGCAGAGCATCTACGTGTGGCTGGCGTCGGAGAAGGCCCACGAGCGGCAGCGGGCAGTGCGCTGCTGCACGGGCCTCCTCAAGTTCCTGAGGCACAACCCCTGCCTGGACGTGAGTACCGGCCCCTGGCGCAGCCTCCGCCTGTCCCCTGTAAGTGGGCGGACGCGCCCCTCCTCGGATACCGCGACTCAGACGCAGAGTGGGCGCGCACCGGAGGGTGGGCTAAGCGGGCAGTGCGCTGCTGCACGGGCCTCCTCAAGTTCCTGAGGCACAACCCCTGCCTGGACGTGAGTACCGGCCCCTGGCGCAGCCTCCGCCTGTCCCCTGTAAGTGGGCGGACGCGCCCCTCCTCGGATACCGCGACTCAGACGCAGAGTGGGCGCGCACCGGAGGGTGGGCTACTGCCGCCCGGCCCGGCCGGCCCAGCTGCTTAGCCCGGCTCTGCCGCTGCTGCCGGGGGGGGGGGGGGGGGTCGCGGGGGGGGGA